TCAGAAGATAGGTAATAACAAACTTCTCTGAGCTAAAAGAACATGTTTTAACCCAATGTGAAGAAACTAAGAACCTTGATAAAAGATTGGAATGCTTACTAGAAATGCTAACTAGAATAACCAGCCTAGAGAATAACATAAATAACTTGATGGAGCTGAAAAACACAGCACGAGAACTTTGTGAAACATACAAATTTCAGTAGCTGAATCGATCAAGCAGAAGAAAGGATATCAGAGATCAAAGATCAACTCAATGAAATAAAAAGAGAAGGCAAGAAAAGAGAAAAAAGAGTGAAAAGAAAGTGACCAAAGCCTCCAAGAAATATGGGATTATGTGAAAAGACCTAATCTGCACTTGATCAGTGTACCTGAAGAGGACGGGGAAAATGAATCCATGCTGGAAAACACTCTTCAAAATATTATCCAGGAGAATTTCCCCAACCTAGCAAAGCAGGCCAACATTCAAATACAGGAAATACAAAGAACACCACAGAGATACTCCTCAATAACAGCAACCCCAAGGCACATAATCATCAGATTCACCAGGGTTGAAATGAAGGAAAACATGCTAAGGGCAGCCAGAGGGAAAGTTCGGGTCACCCACAAAGGAAAGCCCATCAAACTCACAGCGGATCTCTCTGCAGAAACCCTACAAGGCAGAAGAGAGTGGGGACCTTAAAGAAAGTATTCAACCCAGAATCTCATATCCAGTCAAACTAAGCTTCATAAGTGAAGTAGAAATAAAATCCTTTACGAACAAGCAATTACTGAGAGATTTCGTCGCCACCCAACCTGCCCTACAAGAGCTCCTGAAGGAAGCACTAAACACAGAAAAAAAAAATCCAGTACCAGCCACTGCACAAATGAACCAAATGGTAAAGACCAACGACGCAAAGAGGAAACCGCGTTGACCAACGGGCAAAACAAACAACCAGTAACAAAATGGCAGGATCAAATTCACACATAACAATATTAACGTTAAATGTAAATGGCCTAAATGCCCCAATCAAAAGACACAGACTGGCAAACTAGGTAAAAAGTCAAAACCCATTGGTGTGCTATATTCAGGAGACCCATCTCATGTGCAAAGACAAACATAGACTCAAAATAAAGGGATTGAAGAAGATCTACCAGGCAAATGGAGAGCAAAAAAAAAAGTAGGGGGTTGCAATTTTAGTCTCTGATAAAATCGACTTTAAACCAACCAAGATCAGAAGAGGCAAAGAAGGACACTACATAATGGTGAAAGGATCAATACAACAAGAAGAGCTAACTATCCTAAATATATATGCACCCAATACAGGAGTGCCCAGATACATAAAGCAAGTTCTTAATGACTACAAAGAGACTTAGACTCCCATACAATAATTGTGGGAGACATTAACACTCCACTGTCAACATTATACAGATCAATGAGACAGAAAATCAACAAGGATATACAGGACTCGAACGCAGAACTGGAACAAGTAGACCTAATAGACATCTACAGAACTCTCCACCCCACAGCCATAGAAGATATATTCTTCTCAGCACCACATCACACTTACTTTAAAATTGACCACATAATTGGAAGTAAATCACTCCTCAGCAAATGCAAAAAAACAGAAATCATAACAAACAGTCTCCCAGACCACAGTACAATCAAATTAGATCTCAGGTTTAAGAAGCTAACTCAAAACTGCACAACTTCATGGAAACTGAACAACTGGCTCCTGAATGTTAACTGGATAAACAATGAAATGAAGGCAGAAATAAAGATGTTCTTCAAAATCAATGAGAACGAGGACACAACGTACCAGAATATCTGGGACACATTTAAAGCAGTGTCTAGAGGGAAATTTATAGCAATAAATGCCACATGAGAAATGAGGAAAGATCTAAAATCGACACCCTATTGTCAGAATTGAAAGAGGTAGAGGAGCAAGATCAAAAAAACTCAAAACCTAGCAGAAGACAAGAAATAACTAAGATCAGAGCAGAAATGAAGGAGATAGAGACACAAAAAACCCTTCAAAATCAATAAATCCAGGAGCTAGTTTTTTGAAAAGATCAATAAAATAGACCATTAGCCAGATTAATTTAAAAAAAGAGAGAAGAATCAAATAGATGCAATTAAAAACGATAAATGGGATATCACTACCCCCAGAAATACAAACTACCATCAGAGATTACTACAAACAACTCTATGCACATAAACCAGTAAACCTGGAAGAAATGGATAAATTCATGCACACTTGCACCCTACCAAAACCAAACCAGGAAGAAGTTGAAACCCTGACTAGACCAATAACAAGGGCTGAAGTTGAGGCAGCAATTAACAGCTTACCAACCAAAAAAAGTCCAGGTCCAGATGGGTTCACAGCCGAATTCTACCATATGTACAAAGAGGAGCTGGTACCAATCATTCTGAAACTGTGCCAAACAATACAAAAAGAGGTAATCCTCCGCAGCTCATTTTATGAGACCAACATCATCCTGAAACCAAAACCCGGTATCAGGACTCAACAAAAAAAGAAAACATCGGGCCAATCTCCACGATGAACATAGATGCAAAAATATTCAATAAAATACTGGCAAACTGATTGCAAAAGCACATCAAAAAGCTTATCCATCACCATCAAGTAGGCTTCATCCCGGGGATGCAAGGCTGGTTCAACATACACAAGTCTATATACATAATCCACCACATAAACAGAACCAAAGACAAAAACCACATGATTATCACAATAGATGCAGAGAAGGCCTTTGACAAAATTCAACAATAGCCCTTAATGCTAAAAACTCTCAATAAACTAGGTGTCGACGGAACCTATCACAAAATAATAAAAGCTATTTATGACAAACCCACAGCCAATATCATGCTGAATGGGCAAAAACTGAAAGCATTTCCTTTGAAATCTGGCACTAGACAAGGATGCCCTCTCTCTCCACTCCTATTCAATATGGTATTGGAAGTGTTAGCCAGAGCAATCAGGCAGGAAAAAGAAATAAAGGGTATTCAATTAGGAAAGGAGGAAGTCAAATTGCCTCATTTTGCAGATAACATGATTGTATATCTAGAAGACCCCATTGCCTCAGCCCAAACTCTCCTTAAGCTGATAGGCAACTTCAGCAAAGGCTCAGGATAGAAAATCAATGTGCAGAAATCACAAGCATTCCTATGCACCAGTAACAGACAAACAGCCAAATCAAGAGCGAACTCCCATTCACAATTGCTACAAAAAGAATAAAATACCTAGGAATACAACTAACAAAGGAGGTAAAGGACCTCTTCAAGGAGAACTACAAGCCACTGCTTAAGGAAATAAGAGAAGACATAAACAGATGGAAAAACATTCCATGCTCATGGTTAGGAAGAATCAATATTGTGAAAATGGCCATACTGCCCAAAGTAATTTATAGGTTTAACACTATCCTCATCAAACTACCAATGACCTTCTTCACAGAACTAGAAAAAACCACTTTAAACTTCATACGGAACCAAAAAAGAGCCCACATAGCCAAGACAATCCTAAGCAAAAAAAACAAAGCTGGCAGCATCACGCTGCTGGACTTCAAGCTATACTACAAGGCAACAGTAATCAAAACAGCATGGTACTGGTATCAAAACACAGACATAGACCAATGGAACAGAACAGAGGTCTCTGGAGCAACACCACACATCTACAACCATCGAATCTTTGACAAACCTGACAAAAACAAGCAGTAGGGAAAGGATCACCTGTTTAATAAATGGTGTTGGGAAAACTGGCTAGCAATGTGCAGAAAGCAGAAACTAGACCCCTTCCTGACACCTTACACTAAAATTAACTCCAGATGGATTAAAGACTTAAACATAAGACCTAACACCATAAAAACCCTAGAAGAAAACCTAGGCAAAACCATTCAGGACATAGGCATAGACAAGGACTTCATGACTAAAACGCCAAAAGCTATGGCAACAAAAGCCAAAGTAGACAAATGGAATCTAATTAAGCTCCAGAGCTTCTGCACAGCAAAAGAAACAGTCATTAGAGCAAACAGGCAACCAACAGAATGGGGAAAAAATTTTCGCAATCTACCCATCTGACAAATGGCTAATATCCAGAATCTACAAATAACAGAAACAGGTTTACAAGAAAAGAACAAACAAATCCATCCAAAAGTGGGCAAAGGATATGAACAGACATTTTTCAAAAGAAGACATATATGAAGCCAACAAACATGAAAAAATGCTCATCATCACTGGTCATTAGAGAAATGCAAATCAAAACCGCATTGAGTTACCACCTCACACCAGTTAGAATGGCGGTCATTAAAAAATCTGGAGACTGCAGATGCTGGACAGGATGTGGAGCAATAAGATCACTTTTACACTGTTGGTGGGAGTGATTAGTTCAACCACTGTGGAAGACAGTGTGATGATTCCTCAGGGACCTAGAAATGGGAATTCCATTTGACCCGGCAATCCCATTACTAGGTATATACCCAAAGGACTATAAATCATTCCGTTATAAAGACACACGCACACGCATGTTCATCGTGGCACTGTTTACAATAGCAAAGACCTGGAACCAACCCAAATGCCCATCAGTGATAGACTAGACAAAGAAAATGTGGCACATATACACCATGGGATATTATGCAGCCATAAAAAACGATGAGTTTGTGTCCTTTGTAGGGACATGGATGAACCTGGAAACCATCATTCTCAGCAAACTGACACAAGAACAGAAAATCAAACACTCAGTGTTTTCACTCACAGGCGGGTATTGAACAATGAGAACCCTTGCACGCAAAGAGGGGAGCATCACACACTGGGGTCCGTTGTAGGGGCTACGAGAGGGATAGTGGGAGGGAGGGTTGGGGAGGGATAATGTGGGGAGAAATGTCAGGTATAGGTGATGGGGGGGATGGTGGCAACATACCACCTTGCCATGAATGTACCTATGCAACAATCTTGCATGATCTGCACATGTACCCCAGAATCTAAAGTAGAAAAAAAAAAAAAACTCGGGAGGCTGAGGTGCAACTTTCTTCGGTCGTCCCGAATCCAGGTTCATCCGACACCAGCCGCCTCCACCATGCTGCCGAAGTTCGACCCCAACGAGATCAAACTCGTATACCTGAGGTGCACTGGGGGTGAAGTCGGTGCTACTTCTGCACTTGCCCCCAAGATCGGCCCCCTGGGTCTTTCTCCAAAAAAGGTTGGTGATGACATTGCCAAGGCAACGGGTGACTGGAAGGGCCTGAGGATTACAGTGAAACTGACCATTCAGAACAGACAGGCCCTGATTGAGGTGGTGCCTTCTGCCTCTGCCCTGATCATCAAAGCCCTTAAGGAACCACCAAGAGACAGAAAGAAACAGAAAAACAAACACAGCGGGAATATCACTTTCGATGAGATTGTCAACATTGCTCGACAGATGCGGCACCGATCTTTAGCCAGAGAACTCTCTGGAACCATTAAAGAGATCCTGGGGACTGCCCAGTCTGTGGGCTGTAATGTTGATGGCCGCCACCCTCACGACATCATAGATGACATCAACAGTGGTGCTGTTAAGAAGCACAAAGGAAAATATTTCAATAAAGGTCATTTAACAACTGGAAAAAAAAAAAAAAAAAATCAAATAATGTTGTATGTTGATGTATGCTAATAAATATTGATAGTTATTGAATCTGAAAAAAAAATGCAGTCACCACCTAAATCAAGGAATACACCTCCTTAACATGACCCCTCTCTCCCTGTTTGAAGGTATCAGCCCACTCCAACACCTCAGTATAATTTTGAGCGTTGTCCAAATAAACAGCAAAGTGTGTGGTTTTATACTTGCTATGATGTTTATGTTTACTGTGGCTTTTAGCACCATTTCTTCTTTATCCTTTTTTTTATCATACTTTTGAGACTGCCTCTGTGGCTCACACATAGCATTTGTTGAGGTTCTAGAGAGGTGGAGTGCCACCTGAAAAGTTCACATTTGTTAATTGTGCTACCTCAACGTTTCTATGTATTTACTGAATTTTTTTGTTACTTATTCTACAGATACTTGTGTTAAATTTCTCGTTATGCTTGTGAATTTGTCCAAGTATCCTATTCAGGACTATTTTTGCATTATATATTTTATGATGCTGTTATTCGTACATATAAGTCTAGAATTGCTGTATCTTCTTGATGAATTGACCCTTTTATTTTAATGAAGGGTCTCTCATTAGTAATGCTGCTTCCCTTAAAGTCCACTTTGTCAGGTACTCATAACAATGTTGGCTGGGCATGGTGGCTTACATCTGTAATACCAACACTATGGGAGGCTAAGGCGGGTGGATTGCTTTAACTCAGGTTCAAGACCAGTTTGAGTAACACAGCGAGACCCCATCTCTACAAAAAATACAAATATTAGACAGGTGTGGTGGCACATGCCTATAGTCCCAGCTACTTGTCAGCTGAGGTGGGAGGATCGCTTGACGCGGATGTTGCAGTGAGTCAAGATTGCACCACTGCACTCCAGTCTTGGCAACAGAGCAAGACTTGTCTCAAAATCAAACAAAAAACTGTTTTTTTCTGTGTGTTTGTCAGGTTCCAGGAGGAGACCAAAACTACACAGTGATTCGGATAGGGAAAGCTCAGTGCCAATGATTTTTTTTGTTTGGTTGGTTATATTTTGAGACAGAGTCTCCCTCTGTCATCCAGGCTGGAGTGCAGTGGCGCAATCTTGGCTCACTGCAACCTTTGCCTCCCGGGTTCAAGTGATTCTTGTACCTCAGCCTTGCGAGTAGCTGGGATGACAGGTATGTGCCACCACGTCTGGCTAATTTTTGTATTTTTAGTAGAAATGGAGTTTCACAATGTTGGCCAGGCTGGTCTTGAACGCCTGGGCTCAAGTGATACATCCACCTCGGTCTCCCAAAGTGCTGGGATCACAGGGGTGTGTCACTGTGCCTGGCTGAATGTTAGGGATTTTTATAGGGACTTGGCATGATGGATTATTGGCTAGTGAGAGTGAAAGAGAACTCTAGAGAATATAGGAGTAGCACATGAAGAGAACACCTCCAGCCTTAGGTGAGTGCCCTTAAGGAAGGAGCCCCAACCCCCAGAGGGAGACCTGGCTCCCTACATGGAAGAAACTGCTAGCAGTCTTCTGTGGGACCTGATGACATCCACTCACTTGGGTGGGTGGCTGGTAGGGGTGTGGATGTGGAGCCTTCCCAGGGGAGGTACTAGGAGAGCTGTTGGAGCCAGAGCTGGAAAGCCTGCTCTCTCAAGTCCTGCAGGCTCCTGTGTATGGCTCGTATCAGGTTGGGGCTTGTAGGGTTAGCTGTCTGGTGTGCTGTCAGAGTCACCTGGAGAAACCTCCCCCTCCCCCCAGTTCTTCCAGCACTCTGGTGATAGGCACTAAAGCAGGTAGGTGGGTTTGGGGTCCTAGAGACTGAGTGAACAAAATGCATTTAATTATGTACTTTATTCTAAAAGTGATTGAGTGTCCACTATGCTAGTTTTATCAGGTCAGACTTTGCAACTATGTATTTTAAGAAGAAAGCCAACAAACTTGGTTTTAGGAGCTTGTTTTTAGGGCAGTGGTCTGATTTGGGGATGACAGAGGAGCACTTGTGCATTTCAGAAAATAAGTGGCAGTGTAAGTGGTTCATCAGACACAAAGATTAAACAAGGCGACCAGAGTTACCAACTGTAAGAATGTTAAATTGTTTTCACAGGATGTAGTAACAATCTCAAAAGTCCAAGCATTTTTCTTTCTTAGATACAGTGTTGCCAAAGAAGGCTTATTCGGATATAGAAGAGTGTACACTATTCTGAGGATGAAAGGGAAGAGGAACATGGGTTTCTTGTTAGGAATTACACTTAGTTTCAGGTTAACTGCTTGAATTGTGTTAGTTGCAATGAGAGAAAAAAAGACCTGAGAAATTCAGAACTTGCACTGTGGAAAAGGACGTGAACAGAACTGGGGATGCAGCCTTTTGTTTCTCTGTTATTTCTTCACCTGCATGCCATCCTCTCTACTAAGCTGATACACAGATGAAAAAAAAGAGCTCCTCCTTTTGAGAAGGAAACATCCTAGAAAATAGGTAGAGACTCTGAAATATTGGCTTCTTACTTAAATATGCAAGAAGCAAACTGTAGAGAAACCAGTGTCTAAAAAAAAAAAAAAAATCAACCTGACAGAAAAATTGATGAAACAAGAAAAATAAATCTAATGGAAGATAAACAATTAAGATTTAAGACTATATTTTAAAATATTGCTGATTTAATATTGTACTAGAGACATTAAGGCAAGTAAACATCTTGAGGACTCTGGGAACCCCTTGCTCTGATTAATATTTTAGGCAACGGAGCTTGATTTAAAAGTGAACGTTTTCTTAACGACTAATCTAGTTTTCCCTCCAGCAGGGTTAGTATTCTGTTGGCTGGTCTGTTGGGTGCTAAATAAAAATTGGCATCTCATTGCATTGTAATTGCCTTACCCTATATAGCATATTGTAAAGTGGACGTTTTCTGAGGAGAAGCAACATGCATTTGCCAGTGCACTGGTGCATTTAAATGTCAAGTATGTTAACATTTGTAGCTTTCATAAATAGCATCAAGATAGTAATAAATTTGTAATTTGAAATAAATTACAAATATAAATAATGTATTTCTTAGGGTTTGTGTTACCTCATGAATTTTCCCCACTAATCATATGACAAGCAAATTACTTGACCATATTAATTGTGCCTCTCCTTGCAGGCAGCTTTAATAGCGCAATGATGTAGGTGCCAACATTAAACCTTGAAGGGAAAGAACATTCCCTGAAAAAGTGGCCTCTCTTTTGTTATCAAATATTGATAAATGAATATCAATTCATTTTATTTTGCTTTAATTTTAACAGTCCTTTTTTGTTTTGTTTTGTTTTGGTTTTTTTTGAGATGGAATGTCAATCTTTTGCCAGGTGCCAGGCTGGAGTGCGGTGGCACAATCTCGGCTCACTGCAACCTCTGCCTCCCAGGTTCAAACAATTCTCCTGCCTTGGCCTTTCAGGTAGCTGGGACTACAGGCACACGCCACCACACCCAGCTAATTTTCGTATTTTTAGTGGACGGGGTTTCACCATGTTGGCCAGGATGGTCTCGATCTCTTGACCTCGTGATCCGCCCGCCTCGGCCTCCCAAAGTGCTGGGATTACAGGTGTGAGCCGCCATGCCTGGTCAACAGTTCTTTTTTTAAATGAATTTGGGGCTGGATGCTTTTTATAGCTTATTTAGTGATATGTTTCTATCATCCATACCCAATGGACTTGGTATAGATAATTTAAAACTATTCATACAAAAAACCACCCTTTGATAAACACATGCATTGTCTTTTAATCTTACTGTTTTTCTCAGAAAATTGATTCTGCCTGCCTTTCTTATGGCTGTGATCACCAACATATGTCCCTAACATGACATAGACGGAAGGAAAGGTGGTAAAGTTTTGAGTCCTCCTGTTTGGCGCATTTTACAGATGTTAGTGCTGAGGGGACTTGTGCATTGTCTGGTTTGTGTGTCTTGTTACATATGAGGAGAACCCTGGCCCAGGGAGCTTTTTGTCTAAGCTTTTTGTCACTGTCCCTTCCAACTTTAAAATTCTTTCATTTTGTTTTCTTCATTTTGTTCTTTAGTAGTTTTTATTTCTCTGCTTTACATAGTATGTTCAATTCTTTCTCCAGATGATAAAAGAATGAGTAAATTTGAAATATGCTGGAATATCTTTTTTTTTTTTTGAGAGGGAGTCTCGTTCTTTCACCCAAGGTGGAGTGCAGTGGCACCGTCTCGGCTCACTGCAACCTCTGCTTCCTGAGTTCAAGCGATTCTTCTCCTTCAGCCTCCAGAGTAGCTGGGACTACAAGCACACACCACCACGCCTGGCTAATTTAGACATATATTTAAATATATACACACATATATGGCTAATTTATATATATTCAAATATATACACACAATAATGTATTTATAATACATATTATAAATATATGTGTATATATTTATATATTTAAATATATACACAAAATAATATATATTATAATGTATATATTATTACAAATATATATATATATATATATATTTTTTTTTTTTTAAGATGGAGTCTTGCTCTGTCTCACAGGCTGGAGTGCATTTGCACCATCTCGGCTCACTGCTACCTCCACCTTGCGGGTCAAGCAATTCTCCTGCCTCAGCCTCTCGAGTAGCTGGGATTACAGGCGCCTACCACCATGCCTGGCTAATTTTTCTCTTTTTAGTAGAGATGGGGTTTCACCAATTTGACCAGGGTGGTCTTGAACTCCTCACCTTGTGATCCACCGGCCTTGGCCTCCCAAAGTGTTGGGATTACAGGCATGAACCAGTATGTCCAACTAATTTTTGTATTTTTAGTAGAGACGGGGTTTCACCATATTGGCCAGCCAGGCTGATCTCGAACTCCTGACCTCGTGATCTTCCTGCCTCAGCCTCCTAAAGTGCTGGGATTACAGGTGTGAGCCACCGGGCCTGGCCAGAATATCTTTTTAGTGTTCCAGTAGTCAGGAGAAAAATGACCTGGGTTTAAACCCAAACTGCTCTTCTCAGCTATGTGGTCATGGGCAGTTTGCTTTACCATTGCCTCAGTTAGCTTATCTATTAAAGGAGAACGATA